ACACACACACACACACACACACACACACACCGCCCGGCAAGGGCCCCAGAGGACCGACCCAGGCCATCACACCGGCCACAAACAAGGCAGAGTAAGGCAGGGGAAAACATGGCCGAAACACGTCCTGCCAGCCAAACATACCAAAATATTGAATCTACTTTCAAACAGTGCTCATATTGTGTAGCCGGTGGCATAAATATCCAACGGAACAAGGAGAAGCCGGGCACAAGCCTCGCCGCGGAGGCCCCTCCCGGAGCGCCACGAACGGGTTTTCCTGGAGCAGCTGTAATGTCCTGCTTAGGAGCCTGACCTGACGGACCAGCGGGGAGAAAGAATAACCGGTCACGATTGGGGAGCCGCCCCAGGCTCCTGGGGGTCTCGGCGACGGCGGCCGCGAGGAGGGGAAAACAAGGCGAAGGGGGAGCAGAGTGAGTTTTCTCGTCTCTCACGCCAGCAGCTCAGAGCATTCTGAAGCTTTCTTTTAAAAAGAGGCTTTAAAAAACAATTTCAGCTACTTTTACGACGTTAAGAGTGTAAAAAGTTACCTATTCAAAATTGTAATTTCGACAATACGTACTGCATATTTCATCATTTCCTATTCTGTTTCATTCCTCTTAACGATGGATGTGTTTATTTGATGTGTAGTTCTACAGAAACAGTGCAATAAGTATCGGTGTATGCAGCTCAGTTCATGCTGCAGATCCCAGCAGTGCGGAATTATTCAGATGATGATACAATCCAGGAAAACTACTGCCCGTCTTGCGTAGAGAACCAGAGAGAGTTTTGCTGACTAAATAAGGCAAAGCCTACAGAGAGAGCTCTTCAGAAAGGTGGGAGGGAAGAGAGAAATGCTTTTTTTTTGTATTTTGTGTTTGTGTTTGTGTTTATGTGTCTGGTTTGTTTGTTTGTTTGTTTGTTTTACAGCAAAGGCTTTCTCTTCCTTTCATTTCTTAAGCAGGCAAAATGCACCAAAATGATATCCAGTGTACTTAAAAATCCCCGAAGAAGTGGCAGGCTTCATAAGGGAGCATCATTCCAGATAAGGGGCTGGAATTCAAGGTAGTCAGAGCAAACCCCCTGAAATCAGTGATACTTAAGCTGATGCCAGCCGAATGCTCAGGGTCTTAGCTAAGCAAGCCTGGACATGATAAAGCCGGCATCTGTAAAGTTTTGTCAACAGTTTTAGCAGCACTTAAAGGACAACACAAGTCAGACAAATGTTTCACAGTTGCTTGGAATGGCCTGCCTTTGCTTTCAGGGCTGTCAAAGTGCACTGGCGGGTTGTGTCCATGTGACATATGGAACATGCCAACAGGGCTCCTTAATAAACAGGGTAAGTACGTAGCTGAAGACCAAAATAAATCATATAATACAACAGTATATAATATACTAATGACAAGAGGGTACTTCTGAGCATGTGCAAAGAAATATTTCATGGATTCTTCTTTGTTCCATTCACCATTACTCCTGTATGTCTTACCTGGAATTGGTTAGCTAGTTATGTGCCATCCAGTCAGAACCAACTTACAGCAACCTTAATAGGGTTTCAAAGTCAGTGAGGTTTTTACCAGTTCCACTCCTCTAGTGAGCTTCTATGCCTGAGTGGGTGATGGAGCCGATGACCTCAGGAGGGGGTGAGCGCTCTGACTCTGAGACATTCAAGAGAAAGGTAGACGGAGATCTGGATTCCTGCACTGAGCAGGGGGTTGGACTAGATGGCCTTAGAGGCCCCTTCCAACTCCATCATTCCCCTTTTGAGAACCAAGCCCCATGCCAAGGGGCGAGGGATTGGAAAGAGACGGTTCAGTTTGGATCTCTTGCTCCCGCTCCTTCCCTGGGTGTCTTCCCCACAGCTTGGCACTGGGGTGAACCCTAGCTGCCTTCTGCTGCCCACCTGCTCCCAGCCAGGGGCCAGCAGGTGTGCCCACATAGGGGGCTGCGACCACGTTGCATGGGCTGGAAATTTAGGCGGGGGGGATGGGGTTCCCACATAGGGCAGCCTGGATGCCTGCAGCATCCCAACTCAAACAGACTGTTTAGTGTTGGTGAAGTGGACGATTTATTTATCCTGTCTGGGAAGAAAGCCAGGGCTCCATGTCATGGACAATTAGAGCAGGATGTCCACCAATATATATTCAGTGAAAGCCGGCATTAATCCTCTCTCTGTCTGGAACATATTTGCACCACTGTCATCCATCAAGACTCGCTTCGGGCTGGGTCCAAACCACCCCAAAACTGAGAACCCACAGCAGACACAGAGAAGGAAAATTCAAGACACTGCTGCAGGAAAGCTAGGAGGCTAGAAGAGAACAGAAAAAGGGGTCCTATAGAGAAGGCGGCCCCAGGCACTGGAGTTCCTTGAACCCTTGGCTTTTACTTGTTTTTAATTAAAAAGAAATAGCTAGTATAGTGGAAAACCTGTATTTAAAAGCACACGAGCAATGCCTGGCGCCCATTAAGCTAGAGGGACTCCTTTTGATTTTAACATTACTGAGCAATCTCTTTCAGTTCTCTTTCAAACCCTCTTGCAAGTCTGAGCTCATTCTGAGCCATAAACCTCTCTAATCTTCCCTCTACCAATATTTGCTGCCCATTTGGGCTCTTCCTTAGTGATTTGTCCATGTTCTGATTCCAATATCTGCCCCCTTTAAATCGTAGCTAATCTGAAGTCTCCTTATGAGCACCCTTCTGTTCCTCTAGATGTTTCGCTCTTCTTTTTCTGGCAGGAAATGTTCTGACTGTGCCATCTAGATCTTGCCTCCAACTCACCTCCCATCCCACATGTTTCCTTTTCTTTCTGAATGTTACTGACCACAGGATCTCATTTAGGATTCACTGCAACATTGGAATCAGCTTCCTTCAAGTCCAACATCACATCCCTTTTCCTCAGTTTAATAAATCTCAAAAGGACAGGGCCACAACCAAACAACATCCCCCTTCCTTCCGCCTTGCTGACCAGTTCCTTTTCCTAGGTTAGTACCATGTCCAGAGCAGTTGTTCCTGTTGCATTTTGGGACAAGCTCTGGTCACTTTTACATTTGGAAGGCACTTCCACTTTTCGCTTCTGGAGGCACACACTGCTTTGCAATCAAAATTGCTGTAGAATTTGAAGATGCTCCGTAAAAATCAAGCCTGTCCCAATTGTGAAGACAATGTGAAAAAACTTGACTGGAAAGAAGAAGAAACCCATCAGTTGGCAGTCAGTCCTCAGTGGGCCGGGGGGGGGGAACCTTAACCAAGA